ATATATATATATTCCTTTTTAAAAAATATTTTATTGGGGGCTCTTACAGATCTTATAACAATCTATACATCAACTATATCAAGCATATTTGTATATATGTTTTATTTTATATTATGTTTATATATAATATAAAATATATTAATATATTTTACTTTCTAAATATTTACTTTGAGTTCTTGGTATCAAGTCCTCTTTATTTCCTCCCTCCCCCACTCGTGACTCCTGAATAAATTATAAATTAATATTATTTTCATATCTTACACCAAACTCTGTCTCCCTTCCCCCATGGTTTCTGTTGTTGGTTCCCTTGGGGGGTGGGGAGTGGAATAGTTATGTGTTGATCATTGTGATCAGTTCCACCTTCCTCCCCTCCTTTCGCTACTCCCATTTCTGTACCTGAGGGGTTTATCTGACCTGGACTCTGTGTGTCATGAGTTCTTATCTGTATGAGTGTATATGCTCCGGTCTAGTCCAAAGTAGAAGGCAGGACTGCGGTCATGATAGAGGGGGTGAAGAAGTCTCAAAGAACCAGAGGAATATTGTGTTTCATTGGTGCTATACTGCACCCTGGTTGAATCACCCCTTCCTTGTGACCCTTCTGTGAGGGGATGTCCTATTGTCTACAGATGGGTTTTGGGTCTCTGCTCTGATCCACCTTGTTCTCAACAATATGTTTGTTTGTTTTGGGTCTTCAGATGCCTATTACCTGATCTCAACACTTCATGATTGCACAGGCTGGTGTGCTTTTTCCATGTGGGCTTTGATGCTTCTCAGCTGGATGGCTGCTTGTTTAGCTACAAGCCTTTAAGACCCCAGATACTATATCTTTTGATAGCCGGGCACTGTGCACCTATTTTGTCTTCACCGATCATGCTGGGAAGGTGAGCATCACAGAACGCCAGGTTGTTAGAACAAAGTGTTCTTGCATTGAGGGAAGGCATGAGCAGAGGTCCAGTCTGCCCACCACCTCAATGTATTGCCATATAAATATATTTACATAGTCCAAATACCTCTATTTTTAGTGAATTAAAGTATTTATATATGTTCACACCTATGCTGCTCTCTGTTTATTATTTCTCTCCCTAGATTTTTCCTGTTTCCTTTT